TACGCATCAATTCACCTATTTGTTGTGAAATCAGGTTCTAATTCTTTGATCATTCTTTTATGTGCTTCCGCTTAGCATCTCACTTTTCACTCTATCACCTTTCTCTTTATTCTTTATTGTTCTCCTTCTTCCCAAGATTGCACTTTTTTAGATGTAATTTCTGATCAAATTGACCATGCCTGCTCACTTTACCCCTCTGCCAATATTGTTGTTATTGGTGACTTAAATGCTCATCATACTGAATGGCTAGACTCTAATGCCACTGACCCTGCTGGGACTAAAGCCTATAACTTCTGCATTTCTCAAACTCATTCTCAAATAGTTAACTTTCAGACTTGTTTTCATGTCAACCCTAATCATTTACCTTCTCTCCTTGATTTATGTCTCTGATCCTAGCTTGTGTTCAGTTTCTCCTTTTTCAAATCTAGGTTGTTCTGACCATCCAATGATCTCTTTAAATCTTTCATCTCATACTTCCTTTTCGAACTCTCCCTATCATCTCACTACTTACTACTACCCTAAAGCTGACTGAGATTTTTTACATGATTTTCTTTGTGATAGTCATTTGGCTGGTGTCTTTTCCTTCTCAACTGAAAAATGTGCCTCCTATGCAATCTCCTGGATTCAGGCAGGAATAGAAGCTTTTGTTCCTTCTAATTGGTTCCAATTCAAGCCACATTCTACTCCATGTTATTCGATCTTTTGTGCAGCTGCTATCTAATTGTAATCATTTATTTTATCTTTTTTAAAAGAACAATTCTCAAGAGAACAAATAGCTATTTATTATTGCAAGAAATCGATATAAAAAGGTGCTGTCAAATGCTAAGCTCAATTATTCTCAGTTCACTAAATCTCGTCACAGAAGTTAGGCTCTAGAGTCTTTTGGAAAATCATCATTACCATTGTTAACAAAGGTAGGTCTAACATTCCATCTCTCATTCATGGGACTGATTTTATTACCTCTCCCAAGGATTAGACAGAACTATTAGCAAAAAACTTTTCTTCTAATTCGACTCTCAAATCTTATGGCCATTCTCTTCCTTCCATTCCAATTTAACATGTTAACCCTTTGTTAGATATTCAAATCACTCAAACTTCTGTTGCTAAAGTCATATCTCAATTAAACTCTTCTACTGCCTGTGGTCAAGACAACATTCCTGTGATAGTCTTACAAAATTTTTCTCTACAACTCTTAAATTTCTCTAAACTATTTAATAAATGTCTTACTATTTTCTAAAACATTTTTTTTTTTAACAATGTCATTAAGAAAAGCTAAAATTTCATTGCTAATACATGAATCTGATCTTATTACCTCCCCAAGGATAAGGCAGAACTATTTGTGAAAAACATTCCATTTAATTCATCACTTAAATCTAATGACCACACTTCTCCTGTAATCCTAAAAAAACAAGTTCATTTTAATTTCATCTAAGCCACTGTTGCTAAAGCTATCTCCACTTAAATCACAATCTTGCAATAATATTTTCTAGAACTTTTTTCACTCTCTAAATTATTGAACATTAAACTGTTTCATGAATGAGTCTTGTTTTCCTGCTTGCTGGTAAATGAGATCTTTTGTTCCAGTTTTCAAAAACTCCGGAGAACATTCTGACCCCTCCGATTATGGTCCAATCAGTCTTCTTTCTGTTATTAGCAAGGTCTTTGTGTCTTTGATAAACAAATTTCTCACATCCCATCTTGAATCAAATAACTAAATGTCATACAATCAATACTGAACGATTTTATTTTGCATTAGATGGAGTTGGAGATGCTAGAGCTCTTGACATATCTAAGACTTTCAACAAGGTTTGGCATGCTGGTGGCATAAGCTTGTTTCATATGGTGTATCTAGGAAATTTTTTGAGGTTATCAAATTGTTTCTTTCTAAACACTTTATTAAAGTGATTTTCGAAGGCCAACACTATTCTTTATTTCCAATAACTTCTGTGGTACTTAAAGGTTCTATCCTTGGTCCTGCTTTGTTTCTCATCTACATTGATGATCTTCCTGACAACCTTACATCTAAAGTAGCTCTTTTTGCTGATGACTAAACTTTTTACTCCTGTCTTGAAAAAAATCTGATCTCACTTCTGTAACAGATTGGGGCTCACAGTGGCTTGTGAATTTTAACTCCAACAAAACTCAGTTATTTACTAAAATCAACTATTGCAGTACTGTCGACATATCTATATCAATGAAAGGCTCTCCTTTATCTCCGCCTCTCACTTAATCCTCTTCTTTACGTCTTCGTGGATTATTGTTTACTGCTGACCTTTCAACTTTCAAACTTATTATTTGTCTAGTTTTTTTCCCCGCACCTCAACCCTTTGGAACTCTTTCCCATCTTCATGTTTTCCTGACTCATACAACCTTCAACTTTTTAAATCTTCTTTCAACCATTTCCTTGCCCTATAATTCTTTTTTTTTCTCTAGTAACTCTCAACTTAATAGTGGTTGATTGCAGCCTTGTTTGAAGTGAATAAGAAAAAAACAAAAACAAAAACGCTGCACAGAGGAATACAAACTTTGTTAAAAAAAAACCACTGCACTAGAGAAATACAAACCTTGTTAAAAAAACCACTGCACTAGAGAAATACAAACCTTGTTAAAAAAAAGCCACAGCACAGAGAAACACAAACTTTGTTAAAAAAAACTTGAATACAGTGAAACATAAACTTTGTTAAAAATCAATTTAAAAAATTTAATTGAGAATTAACTTCAGCAACAAAAGCTGGAGTGATTTAGATGTCTAACAATGGGTTAATCTGTTTAACTAAAATAGTAGGAAGTATGGCCATTAAGTTCAAGAGTCGAATTATAGGAAAAGTTCTTGTTAATAGTTCTGCCTTATCCTTAGGAAAAGTAATAAGATCAGATCCATGAATGAATATTGAATGAATATTGGAGAAAGAATATTAAACCTACTTTTGTTTATGATATTGATAATGATTTTCTAAAAATCTCTAGAAACTAACTTCTAACTTATATATATATATATATATATATATATATATATATATATATATATATATATATATATATACATATACACATAGAGTATATATATATATATATATATATATATATATATATATATATATATATATATAAATATATATATATATATATATAAATATATATATATATATAGTAGTATATATATATATATACATATATATGAATGCATGTTGAATGCATGTTTAGTTAAACAGAGTGTTTAACTAAACATGCATTCATATATGTGTGTATGTATATGTATATATATATATATATATATATATATATATATATATATATATATATATATATATATATATATATGTATATATATATGTATATATATATGTATATATATATGTATATATATACATATATACATTCTTCGTTTTTTCTTTTTCTTTTTCAAAAAAAACGGTTTAGCTTAAGGTAAGCAGAAAAAGTGAGCAAATGCTTATCGAAACACGCTTTAGTAAGTGTATATATATATATATATATATATATATATATATATATATATATATATATATATATATATATATATATATATATATATATATATATATATATATATATTTATATATTATACTATATATTATATATATATATATTCATATACTATTTTTGCTTATTTACTTTTTTAGATATGTGTAATGATTACTATAAAAAGAACAATTTTCTACCCTTAAAGTGTTGTAAGTAAAATAATGTTTGATTTATTTTTCTGTAAATTATTAATTTAACGTGTTGAAAGTTAATTTATAATACAAAATGTAGTATTTCTGAGTTTTATTCATTAAACTTTTTTCATCATTTTTTTTCATACGTCATTACGTAAGATATATTTTGCGTAATTTTTGTTCATCTTTTTACTATAAATTTCTCATTATCATTGTTTTCAATGCTGTTTTTATAATTGGTTGCACAGGCTGGAAAGTTTCCAATTATATACTTTAGAGTTTATTAGAATTAAAATCAAAGTTATTAAACAAAAGTTGAATTCTATTAAGTTGACAGTTGAACCAAAGTTGTTGCAACTGTTGTGCAAATTTTTACAAATTACTAATGTACACAAGTTAATGTTACATTGAATGAACTAAAGTTTATTACTTTATTGTATTTAATATAATTGTATTTAATATAAAGTTCAATGATCAGCTGTTTTGTTGCAGTACCTGGTACCAGGTATTTTAAAATAACTTTTTAATTTACATTAACCTTAAGTGCTGTAATTATTTGCCTAAGTGGTACTTTTCATTATGTAGAAATATTATTAACAGAATTGCTATTAGTTTAAACTTCAACCAATAGACTTTTTGTTATCTTAGATATCTATCTAAGAGTGTTAATGAGTTGATAACCACAAAGCCCTATTTACCCCTATTCTCTGTCTCTTAATCTTTTATTTTCTATAACATAATTTTTGATGAACTAGCGCATACTAGCCATTATTTAGCGATAAATTACCTCAGGATTGTTAATTCTTTTTAATTAAATAATAAAAAAAATTAACAAATAAACTATTTATACCAATTGATTTAACACTTTTTAAAATGATTTATAAATTATTAATTCATAAATTATTAATTTTATAATGATTCAACACTTTTCAGGAGGATACTCAAATTTTTAAAACTATATTGCATAGCAGCATTGCATAAAAACTTATAAAAAACATTACATTTAAATAAATCACCATTACAGTGAGAACAGAATTTATTATACAAACTAATTTTTAAATAAAATTAACATCTTTGAATAAATCATGCATTAATTAAAAATAACTTTTTTAAACTTCATTTCAATATATTTTTATACATGTGTATGCGGTAGTGGTGTAGTGGTAAAACACTCACTTCATAAGCAAGAGGTTCTGAGTTCAATCCCCACCACGTCCCTGGTAGTACCGCGCTCAACTTGTTTCTCCGTGCAGCGGCTTTGTTTGTCAAGGTTCGTGTTTCGGAGTTATGGAGTTGAGAGAGGGTTATTACCACTATTAAGTAGCCTCCTCGTCTTAGTGGCCTTCTTGGCCTTGAGGAGGTGAATAACAACAACAACAAAAAAAAAACATACCAGCATTCATAGTTTCATCAATAAATTCTAATTTTTCAAAAAGCATTCCAAGCCATACAACCCCATAAAATTATACTTTTATTGCCATGTTTAATTGCTCCTCTCGTGCAACTCAAAGAAAATCTTCACCTCTTTTTTGCCAAAATCATTGTGCACCATCAGATATTTTTAAGTTAAATTTGGGTTCATCAGACCATATAACTTTTTTCAAAATGATAGTGGCATAATACTTTTTTTAAAAATTCATTTTTCTCTTCATATAATTTTTTATTAAGAACGGTTTTTTATCAGCTTTCATTCTTGTCCAGTATGAATTTCAAATGTTTCATACAGTTGGTATTTCTTTACAATAACTCCTACTGTTGTAAATGGAATATTTGTAAGTTCTTCAACTTTTCTATAAATATTAATTTGTTTAACCAAGCCTATTCTTGGTTAAATAACTTTTTTTTTTTTTTTTGGAATGGGTGAATTATAGGTATTTTGGTATGCTGATTTCAATAATACCATCCATTTCGACCCATCACGTAAGGATTTTCCGCTAAGTCAAAAATAAAATATGGGCAAAACCTGCCTTACACCTTTTTAGACAATAATCATAAGAAAAAAAAATTGTAAAATTATACAAATTTAATTAATTTTAAATCATAAAATAAATTGTTTACAGTATATATAACTATAAAGCTTTATAAAATTTAGTTTTTTTAGTTTCGAAGCCTCATTTAGAGCTTTTTCTTTTGTGGGACATTACATTATCTCTATATAGCATCCAGCAGTAGTCGCCCATCATATTTGTATTCCATTGACCTTGATACCTTCTCTCCATTTCTTTTATATCTTGGTGAAACCTCTCACCTTGCTCTTCACTAACTGCACCAAGATTTTCTGGGATGTAATTTAAATGGGAGTTCAAAAAATGGAGTTTTAAACTCATTGAGCATCCCAGATTTTTAAAATTGCACAACATATTTTTTACGGTATTTAAACGTATCACCATCTTTTAGCAATGCCTTCACAAACTGCTTCATCATGCCAAGTTTGATATGGAGTGGTGGTAAAAGGGATCAACCAAAGGTTCAAAGTGCACGTTTTTCTCTCCGACTTTCAATGTTCTTTTTGGCCACACTTTCTGGTTCTAGTGTTTAGTTTTAGCACGATTATCCCATTCACAAACAAAACAGGGAAATTTTGTGTAACCACCTTGCTGTCCAAGTATCATAGAAACTACTTTGAGATCCCCACAAACTGTTCACACAAATTCTTTGTACTTTAATTTATCCAAGATCAATGCCAAGTTACAATAAGTTTCCTTCAAATGCACTGAGTGACCAACGGGTATTGATGCGTACTTATTCTAGTTGTGAAGTAAATCAGCTTTTATACTTCTTTTCGAAGAATCAATAAACAGTCTCTAATTTTCAGCTATATGTTGAACTTTGAACATGGGCATTAAACCATTGATATCGGAATAATAGACCAGATCACCATATTGAGAAAAATAAGGCTCAAAATATTTTTCTCTATTTCTATACCAAGCAAAATAAGTTCCAGGTGTCAAAAAAATTTTCTCTTGCAGTCTAGATCCTAGTAACTCAGCAGATTGTTTTGAGAGTCCTAAATCTCGGATCAGGTCATTTAATTCAGATTGAGAAAATTGTTGAGGACTATTGGAGTCGCCTACTTGAAACTCGTCACTAGAACTTTCTTCTGATTCACTTTCTAATGATGGTAAATTGTCTAGGCTTTGGGGTACTTGTGGTGTAGAGATGCCAAGTCCATGAGGGTCTGGGCGGAGTGCTGATTCTATGTTTGGATAAAAAATTTGCAAGGTACACTTTTTAAAAAAATTCAGTAATATTTCTTTTTACTACAAATTCACTACAAATATAAAAAAACTCTCAGAAAAATTTACACAACCTCTTGAAGTCATTTTTGAAATAGACCTTACAAAATTTGGAACAGAAATAAATAAATGAAAGGAAATAATCTTGAGAATTTTGGCATTTGTATATATTGGGTTTTTCTATACTTACTATGGAAAATCCCGATATATATATGATTCAACCCTGACAAATATTATCTTCATGAGTTACTAAATGTTTTGTTTCAACCTACGAAACATAAAGTTATCTTATAATAAGTTAATAAATAAAATAATGAATATTTTGGCAATAAACCCTGTTTTGCGCCCTAAAATAGGCAATCCCACAGCATTTTGCATTTTTTTAGAAAAACATTACGTGATGGAATTTTTTTGATAACTTTTTCGAATTTGACCAAAAATATATAAGAATTAACTCTTTAATCTTAGAAAAGTAAAATGTTGCCGACCTGTGTAATTATTTTTCAGTAATTAATTATATTTATAATTATTTATAATTATAAATTCAATATTGTTGATATTTTATAAATTAAAAAAGTTATAAACATTCGAGTTGATATTTTATAAATTAAAAAAGTTATAAACATTCAAGTTGATATTTTATAAATTAAAAAAATTGTAAACACTCATTTTTATAACACATTATTAATAAAACAGTTTTGTACAATTAATTTATGTGCATGCAAGATAATACCTGTTTAAGAAAAAAAGCAAAAATGTATAGCAAACACATTTTCTTATATTTTTACTGAAAAATTATAAATAAGGAAAAGTCATTATAAATTTAAAAAAAAATTATTTCAATACTTATAAAGTTAAAAACAAGTTTTAGGAAAAGAAAATACAAACATTACTTTGTAAGATTAAATTCTGTTCTAATTGTAAGTATGTTATTATTTATAGAGATGCAAAGGTAAAAAGCAATACGTTTCAAATGTAAAAAATCCACTTATACTTACACTTGTACTGTATTATTTATAAACTTATGTGTATTATGTACAATCATCTATAGGCATAAGCGTCAGTACTACTGACATTCGGTAAATTTAATTAGCAGATTATATATACATATATATATATATATATATATATATATATATATATATATATATATATATATATATATATATATATATATATATATATATATATATATGTATATATATATATATATATATATATATATATATATATATATATATATATATATATATATATATATATATATATATATATATATATATATATATTAATATATTATAAGGGTTGTGTAATTATGATATAAGAAAATATTTAAACTTTTCTATCAATTAAAAACTTTTTTTTTACTAAATTTTTGTATTTATTTTATTGTATTTAAAAATAAATTGACAAGATTAAAAAAAGACAAATAATTATCCATGCGAAGGATTTGAATTTTTGATTACTATTATCTTACTATTCAGATAACATCGCACCTAATAACCTAGCTACTAATACTCATGCAAAGGTATGAAAATAAATTCTTCTATAATTGCCATGACTTCTCCACAACCTTTTATGATATTTCAGCTTGCTAAAGGTTATGTCATAAGTTTGTAATTTGCCAAACTTATATTAAAAACAGCTTAATTAAAAGTTTTTTTCAGAAGTAAGAAAGTTATTGCAAAAATTCAGGAAAATTCTAACAGATAGAGTTAACTTATTTGACATACCTAGCTCCGTTTGACCTATTTTCTGGTTCTCTTTTTTGCTTTGTAAATAATTATAGTCCTAATGGGAGGGTTAAAATTTTATTATAGCCTTAAATTTTGAAAATAATTAATTGTGGGAAAATGTCACACAATTGTCATCTGTATCAGAGATGCTTATGTTTACATAATCAATTTGATAAATCTGTGCATCTGACACAAGAAATAATTTTCTTAAAGTAGAATGATGATAAATTCTTTTTCTTGTAAAATAAATAAATAGGGGGTGATGGTTTTAATCAGCTCTATGTATGCAAAAAAGATTTATATATTACATACCAATCTTTGAATTAATAAGAAAAAATTGTGTTAAAGTAACAAAACTGCATTTTACTAATTGGCAATGTCATCTCTTAGCCATTATAACATTTTTGTAAAATAAATTTTTAAAAAAGTATGTTTTATGTAATTCTTATAATGATCATACATAATAAAGCCTGAAATAAATTTTGGAAGTACTTTAATATATCCATATATAGTATTATAATTAAAATTTTTAACGCTAGTTATACCTCCCTCTACCATTATTACCCATGCAATTAAAACGCACAAGTCACAGCATTTGGTTAGTTTCTTTACTGACTTGAGATATTTGGCTGTGGTTTATAACAATAACAACTTTGTAGATTAACTTAATCTTAAACTAATAGATTTATCATGGAAACCATGAACTTAGTTAAAGTTTGTAAGGAAATACTATGCAACTTTAGTTTGTGTCTATGGAAATACTATGGTATATATATATATATATATATATATATATATATATATATATATATATATATATATATATATATATATATATATATATATGTATATATATATATATATATATATATATATATATATATATATATATATATATATATATATATATATATATAGTTTTTAAATTTTTTGTATAGCTATATATATATGTATAATATATATAGTTTTTAAATTTTTCGTATAACTATATATATATGTATAATTTTTTATATACATATATATATAGTTTTTAAATTTTTTTGTTTTTTTATTTTTAACTCTTTCAAACCCAAACTCCAAAACATAAACTTTTTTTGTTAAACAAAGCTGCTGCATAGTTAATCAAGCTTAATGCAGCCTTTCCTTGAGGTAAAAGGTGGACTTGAATCTTAAATGTTTAGTTTGTGCGCTGGTTGTTCTATCTTTGTCACTGTGCTTTAAGTATAAAAATAGTAAAAAGTATGCTATAGTTTAATCTTTTTGAGTATTTAAAATTTTAAAATGGTTTTATTTTTTTTGAATATTTTAACCATTAGTTGTAAATGATTTAATGAATAGTTTGGTTTTTATGAGTATTTTTTATTCCATTATTTAAAAAATATTTAATTTAGACACTCTTAAGTAAGTGTGTTTAAAACTTTAAGTTATTACATTGTTGTAACTAATTATACTTTTCTTTGCTGTAGTTCTTTTAAATTGCATTCTACAGAATCTGAAATAGTCTCAGCTTTTTCATTAACAACTGTTTTGACCTGTCTATTTTCAGGTCAGTCCATTTTAAGTGGGATTGAAACATCCAATCACAATCAGAAATTATGTGACACCTGTATGGTTGTTCCCATCAGTTTGTACGCCTAAATAATGGTTATTTTCCATTTCTATCTTGGTTGTATCCATTGTCAGAGGACATAATATTCCCAAAGCTCTTGCTTTACATTTAATACAAGCCAGAGATACACTTCTTGCAATTTCTGAGTATTTAAAGATCACTGAATTTAGTTTCATCATACAGTCTAGTGATTGATAGCTAAAATGGGGCCAAACCATGTGATATGTCAATTTGGCAACATTTTTTTAAATGTTTTTTTGTGTTTAAATGAAAATCTAGGATTGTTTTTCTTTTATTATCATTACTAATGGTCACATTACAGACTACGCTATATGCCTCTGCTGGATTTTTTTGTTGGTTTGATTTAATAAAGTTGATTATAAAAATGCTAATTTTTATTTATTAAAAATCTAATTAGCAAACAGTTTTAATATAAAGCGATAATAAGAATTTTTATGTGAAATGTTATTTCAGATGTGAAATATTATTTTAGATGCGAAATGTTATTTCAGATGTGAAATGTTATTTCACATCTGAAATAACATTTCAGATGTGAAATAACATTTTATTTAAATTATTCGTATTAACATTTTGTTTAAATTATTCGTATTCGTATATGAAATATCTTATGTTTAAACCAATCAAATTTAAATATCTTTGATTCAAACAAATCAAGTTAAAATATCTTATGTTCAAACCAATCAAATTAAAAGTCGACAATCATGCACAGAATATTTAAATAAAATATTAAAATAGATAAAATGGTGTATAAATACAAAAAGAATTACATAATAAAGTAGGCTGTTTATCAAGCTAAGAACTTTTTAGTGAAAGTAAATTGTCAAAGAAGGACATTTAATGAATTTTTGTTTGAAGGGGACGATGGAGGACAACTGGCAAATAAAATATATTAAAACATTTTTTTTTCTATTTGGTTTTTTGTATATTTTATTGCCATTCCAACTGACAAAGTTTAGTATAACTCTACAAACTAATAGTCGTTAATTAAAAAAACCATAAAAGGATTCTTACTTATAATAAAGTGTCAAACTCAGGACAAATGGGCATTACCATTACTACTCATTAGTGTACAAATAGTTAAAATTTATTTTTATTATTTTTTAACATAACAACTTTGTGGTTAAATAATAAAGATTTGTTATATAATGTATATATAAAATAAGATTTAAAAATTTGTTAAAAAAAAAGTTTTATATAAATAGAAAAAAACAACACAAAATTTGTTATTTACATAAAGAAAAAAACACTACAAAAAAATATATTAAGTGTTCAATAAAAATCTTTGAAAATAATTTATATAGATTATTTATTCCTTTATTAGTTTCAATATTAAATTTGTTCTATCTGTTTTTTATTTTGAAATTTCCCAATACGAGCACAAGTTTACTTAGTGAGTTTTTTGTTGACTTTCTTGAGGCAGCTGTTTATCCTTATATGAAGTTGTTTCAGAATACTGCAGAAATTCTCTATTAGCATTTCTGGGATATTTGACTGGTCATCCACTTTAGCTAAATAGTTTATGGAATTTTTTTCAAGACATGGTGTCACTGTTTTGTCATAATGTAATGAAGCCTTGTCAGGCCAAGAAAAGTAATGGTCATCAATAAAATTTATTATATTCTTTAATATTCTTTAATAAAAGGTACTTGATCACCATCATGTCATCGGATGTTTCTTGATGCAATGTTGTAAGTAAAGATATTGGTTAAATGCAAGACGATCAGGGGCAAAGTATGGTTTTGACACCCCATTAGAAATGCACAACTAGACAAGCATTTTTTGTAGTTTTTGTATATTGCCAGGCAGTATTAGTAGTAGTCTGTTCTATGTTGCTTAAGTAAAAGTTGCTATTGATGATTGATATACATTTAAATGTACATCTTTGATGATAAGTCTTGTTTCACTGTTATTGAAATAACTTGTTATCAATGATAAAGTGATAACCTTGGACCAATATAAATTAAACAAAAATTATTTATATTCTGGATTTTTTCTAGTAAGAAAATGAAAAAAAGAAGGGCATTTATACATTTTGTTATTATATGATACTTAAAAACTGGGCTGAGATTGCACAACCTATAACTAACTATATGTAATTTTTGTCATAGTTCAGTTTAATGCATAATCTGAAATATGCATAAAACAATTATTTGAGATGTTTTTTTTATTGACATGATTTGTAGTATTTAAATATTACCACAATTGTTTATAGATATATATAATCGTGTATAAATATAAATTATATATAACAGATTGTATTTAATAATGTAGATTATATATAAAAACAGTATTTCTATATCTTACTAATTTTTTCCATTTCTCATAGATATGGTAACCAATATTGCTGTTCTAAATTGCTTTCCTAACAAACTTGTCAATATTTCCTGGGATATTGAAAAGCACATAAATTTGAAAAACTTAAGTGGTATGATAAGCATTTGGTGGGCTAATTGTAATGGTAACGAATTTAATCACAAGTTAAAAATGGCAAGACATTTTAGTATTGTTTTTTTATTGTATTTTTATTGCTGATGTATATTTTTATTGTACTTTTATTATTGATGTATATTTTTATTGTATTTTTATTATTGACGTATATTTTTGTATGTATATGTGTATTTTTACTGTATTTTTAGGATCAAAAATATTTTGTTTTCCATAATAAAAGTTCAACATGTGCTTCTGGGGTAAGTTTAACAGAAAATTAATATATCAGTGCACACAATAAATTAAACATTATTTTTATTGCTACAAAAGGTTATTTACAAAGTTTCATTTGATTGAAGATTTATGTAGTTTTTCTGAACATTCCAAAGTTGATAATAAAGTCATTTTAAAGTTAATTTTCAAATTTCGAAGCTTCAAAATAATTAAATAATAGATTTACTTAATTTATTGAATAAAGTTTATTAAAAAAAGCGTGTACACAAAATTAGTGTGAAAGTAGAAAAACAACTAAAAAAAACTTTTATTTATATTTAAGTTATAGTTTTAATACATTGATATAAGAAGACAAAATATTTTAATGAAATTAATTTATTCTTGTGGTACCAGGTACCACCAAAATAAAAGTTTGAAATTTTATTAGATGCCCACAATAATAAATTAATTTTAAAGATAAAGATTTGAAAATGTCGTTTGAAAAGCATCAAATAGTTTTGATTATTGTTTTGAGAGCAAGCTTATGGGTAATACCCATAAGCTTGCTCGTAGAACAACAATCAAAACTATTTGATGCTTTTTAAACGATATTTTCAAATCTTTACCTTTTTACACAAATTTTCAATTCTGAGTTGTTTGGAGGATTTGGTATTTTAGACAACTTTTACGCTATTTTGTTTATACCAACCCAGTATCCAGTTTATACATCCCATGGCCAGTTTGCTATAATGACTTGATAAAAAATCAGACCAGAACATATGTCTGTTATTATGTAATTAAGTAAAAGATGTTTTTGTAATCACTCTTTAACATATCTTTTATCAGAATGTGTAGAATCAGAATAAAAAAGAAGGCTGATTTTTTATCATACCTGCAAATAGCTTGCCAAAACAAGTCTTTTTTAGCAAACTTATCATATTTTGTGTATTTGAATTTCTTATCTGCTTTTCCTTTATATTTCTGGATTATAATAGACACCAGGAATTAGCTGATGGTTATGCTTCTTAAAAGTTTCATCATCTTGTATAATTCAAAAATTTTTAGAAGTAAAATTATCATACAACTTTCACAGCGCATTTTTTTTTTATTTTGAATTTTTGAATGGTTAAGCACTATTTGTGATTTAAAAGCTTGAAAAATTTTTCAACAAAATTCAAAACTTAAAAACTAAATGTTTTTAATCAGCTGATTGAAAAAGCTTGAAAATTTTATTTTGAACTTTTTCAATAAAACTATGAAAAAATTTTTATCTTTTTACATTTTCCTTAGTGAGAAGCTTTGGTTATTCATAAAACTGTTATCCAGTTTTCTAATCAGTTTTATATCTTGAAAAACCACTTTTCCTCCATTACCAGATTTGTGTAACCAAATTTCTCCAGTAAGATATGTAACCATAGTAACCACAAGTATAAGATTTGAAATTATTATTTGAAATTACTATTGTATAAAAATACCATTCAATAAAAAAAAAATTAATCTAAGCTGCTCTAGTAATTAATGTTGTTTTTATTTATTTGTTACAAAAACCATTTAAATAGAACAAAATCATAAAAATCATGATTTTATTTTTTACTTTTAAAAACTAAATTTAAAATTGCTTGTTCTAGGTGGCCTACACAACTATATTAATAACATGTTAATTGTGTCATAAATTTTAATTGATTGATTTAAAATTACTTTTTAGCTTATAGAACTGACGTTTTCAAACACATCAGGCTATCCACATTATTTTTAAAATTACTTTGTAGCTTATAGAACTGACGTTTTCAAACACATCAGGCTATCCACATTATTTTTAAAATTACTTTGTAGCTTATAGAACTGACGTTTTCAAAAACATCAGGCTATCCACATTATTTTTAAAATTACTTTGTAGCTTATAGAACTGACGTTTTCAAACACATCAGGCTATCCACAATATTTTTCATTTAATTGTTCAGGTTAGCATTTTTTTTCTTGAGTTATATTAAATAATAATTCATTATAAAATTGTAATTTAACGCAGATTGGAATTTTTTTTTATAAATTTTACTTTTCTACTCAGATTTTATGTTGAAGTATAATTAAAAAAAATATTTAGTTATGTAATTTTATTTATACAAGTAACATTATTATTTTGTTGCATGAAAACCCTTCTGAGTTTTTTGTTGCATAGAAACACTTCTGATTTTTTATAATCATTTCTTTCACTTGGTATGAACTAATATTATGTTTTATCCTCCTCTGGCTAGTTGCCATACAGAGGCCACATTACTAAGATTTGCAGAGACAAGTTCAGCTTACTAAAGAGCATCAAAACCCGCTTTGCAGACCAAGGATAAGTGATTTTGGGAAGGACGAACGAATTATAGAGTGAATGTTAGAAAAAGTTGAATTAGAAAGATAGTATTGACAAAATAGAAAGATATTGCACTAGATGTTAGAATGTGCAATTCATACTATTAATTAGGTTACCTAAATAATGTATTAGTATAAATGTAATAACATAGCTGATGACTCTTGCTAATACTTATTATCATTTGATATGAATTCTTCATCAACTTTCTTCAATGTCTAGTGCACAAAAAAATAACCTTTTGTATAAAAATTAGCCACTAAATTGCTTGCAGGTTTGTTTTTTAAAAGGAATCTTTTTTAATACTATAATGTTAAATTATTTTATTTATAAAATTGGCTTAGGCTGCTAGTGGGTTTGTATTTTTTTAAAATCTTTTTTAATAATATAATCTTTTCTTTTTCAATATTGGTACAAAATGACCAATGAATATGATATGCAATATTGCCCCAATAATCATAAATTATTGCACCAATATTGATATTAACAAGCCTGGTTGATACCCTAGGCAGATTTAATTATATAGTTATTGATAATTCATATATAATATTATTTTTGAACCAATGTTTTATCCACTCATTTAATAAAAAATATTATTTTTTCATATTTTAAAAATGTCTAGTTATTAAATACTTAAGATTTTACAACTTTGAAATGATTAAAAAAAACTGTTGAATTTTACTATAAATACTATATTGGCAGCCCTAAGCAATTGCCAAGTTTGCCTTAGAGAATAAATTGGGCCTGAAACCAATATAGGCAAGTATTAGCATGCTGATATTGCTTTCACATTGTTTTGTCAAATATTAAAATACCAATATTGTGACCTTATTGGCATAGTCATATTATCAATATTGGTATGTAAATATTGGTATGTAAATATTGGAGCTATATTCTTTGCCTATATTGAGTTTGTTAGTATTGATCTTTTGTCATAGTTGTACACATGTGTATCAAAAATTAATAAGAAAATGTATTTTCTTTACAATTTTCATTAAATATGGGATTTTATTGGATTTATATTATAAATATAAAATTATTATATTATAAATATAAAATTATTATATTATAAATATATTTAGATTATAAATATAAAATGTAAGTTATAAATTAGATTTTAATTAGTAATATAAATGTATTTTTATTATAATCTTTTATTTTACTTGACTTAAAATCTTCATAAATTTAATAATACAAAATAGCATTAATCTAAAAAATCAGCTACTAAATAGCTTGCGGTATGTTTTTAAAAGGAATTTATATTTATAAATAAATCTTTTCTTTTTCAAAATTGGCTTAAATTGCTTGCGGGTTTGTATCTTTTTTTAATAATTTTTTTTGAAATAAAAGTTTGAAAAAAACAACTAAAGTGGCAATGCAAATGAAATATTTGTATTTTTTATTATTTTACTTTTAAATTTTATATAAAAAATTCTCCCATTAAAAAAAAAAATTCCGTTCCTTTAATTAGGAACAACTCTGTTTCTTTAATAAAGCTAAAAAGCTTGATTTAATTATAAATGTTATGACAAATGCATTGCTAAATATTGAAACTCGTTTAAAAGACTAAAAAATAAAAAATAAAATATAGCAAAAACATTTGCTCAAATATATAATCTTTTTTGTACTAAAAAGTAGGAAAAAAAAAAATTTAATAGTTCAGTAAAGAATGACAGGTTTGCACATGATTTATATAAAAACCTGTTTTTAGTTTTATATAAAACCTGTTTGTAGTTTTATATAAAAACATACTTATTTTTAGTTTACTAAACTATTAAATTTAATTTAAAAAGTTTATTTTCTAATTTTTTGTACAAAAAAGATAATACTTAGGAGCAAATGTTTTTTTTATATTTTTTTTATATTTTTCTTTATATTGGCCAGCAAGACTGGCCAATATAAAGAAAAACTTGATAAAAATTCTTGTCAGGCAATTTTTAAAAACTTTTGGGTTGTGAAAGATGATAAGTTCCCACTTAAATAAAAGTCTTTTGGAAAATGTTTAAGGTCTTTTAAAAAATGCTGAATTCTTTACTTTAAAAAAATTTGAAGTCATTCAAGTTGAAAATTAGTATCAAAAATATAAAGATCTGCTATATGAATTTAATTATGTAATTATGGTATTATATGTACTATGATTTGCAATCGCACTTTTAAATCTTGCAAAGCTGGTCAACAGTAGTTGACTAGCTGTAGTAGGGATGTTTGTCTATTTTTTTCTTAAACTCATTTATAGATTTTGAGTCTACTACTTTATCTGGTTCTGTTTGTTTGCAATTCAGTTGGTTTAATTTAGTTGATTAAATTTAATTTAATAATAATAATAGTAGTAATAATAATAATAGAATTTAACTTAATTTGTCTTTGATTGCAATTCTTCATTGGTTCTTTACAAAATAATTGTTCTAGTTAAACATAATGGTTCTGCTACCAATGAACCCATTCAGTTTTTTAATTCTTTTAAATGAGGTTGCCTCTTTTTCTTCTTAAATTTAGTGAAGTCACACCTAAATGATTGCATTGTTCTTCATAAGTAATAGACCGCGATCCGTGTATGCTAATTGCAACCGTCTGTGACCTCCCTCTTAGAACCAAGTAATTTTTTCAGAAATTGTGCTTTATAATAACATTATCAAAAAAGATCCCAAGTTTTTCTTCTGCAGGTTTTGAGAAAAAAGTGTTAGAACTCCCTATAAAAATAGGTTTACACAGCTATTATTCCGTTTCATTGAAAATTATCAGTAAAAAACAGAACAAATGTTTGTATAGTTTTTCTCTAGCTCATTTTAAATAAATGCAAGCGGTAAAATGCACTTGTTTTCTTAATAATCAAAACAAAATAAAAATTATTCATTAATTTTTATTTTAGAATAACAAAAATTCAGAGGCGCCTATGGTGCCCATTTATAGAAATCATTTACATATATAAATTTTATTTTATTTTAAGATCAATAATATAATAGCTGTTTAAAAAATAATTTATGTTGTATTAAAATATTAATCTTAATAATCGAAACTTTTGATTTTTTTTTTATTGTGTTTATAAAAACAAATATATTTATAAATTAGTTTCATATTTAAAGCAATTCAACTATTTATTAAATTATCTATTAATTTTTATAAAATTATCTATTAATTTTTAATAATCTATGACAGATTGTGTATGACAGACTGTGTATGACAGATTGTATATGACAGATTGTGTATGACAGATTGTGTATGACAGATTGTGTATGACAGATTGTGTATGACAGATTGTGTATGACAGATTGTATATGACAGATTGTGTATGACAGATTATGTATGACAGATTATGTATGACAGATTGTGTATGACAGATTGTGTATGACAGATTGTGTATGGGAATTTCAAGTTGTTTAGTTTGTTTGATTTTTCATAATAAAATATTAATTAAAAAGTTTTGAAAAAATACAATAAATTTAAAATTACTTCTGATTATCAGATAGAAAAAAAAACCCTAAAAATAAAACTTCAAAGAAAAAATAATATTGATAATATTGATGCTCATTAACTGATTTCTCATTAAGTCCTTGAGTATCGAGCTTTATTCTTTTTAAGACATTAAGTCCTTGAGTATCGAGCTTTATTCTTTTTAAGACACTAGAAGATTACAACTTAAACAACTGCTAAAAGTTCATGATGCTCAGTCTTTTTATGTATTATGCTTTTGCTCATCTTCAGCAAAAAATACTGGAAATAAATAAAATAAATATTTGTAAATTTCAAGTTGATATGACTCCTTTATATTCTTTTCCAAATCGTTTCTCCACGCAGCGGCCTTGTTCATCAAGATCGTGTTTTGGATTTATAGAGTTAAGAGTGGGTTATATAACCACAAATAAGTAGCCTCCTCGTCTGTAGTGGCCTTCTCGGCCTTGAGGAGGTGAATTAACAAAAAAAAAATGTCTAAATAACCTTTTCTTAGAGTTAATCTGAGAGTTTGCTAATCCATCCAAAAAATTAAATAAAAATTGAATAAAAAATTAAATAAAAATTGACGTCTTACAAACTCTTATGTCTTATTCATTTTTTACAATTGTGAAGTTGAACAATTAAGAAATTTTACTAATTTAACTTAATCACAAAATGAATGGTTTATAATAAGTGACAAAAAGTCAGAAGTTATGGGTATAGCACAAAGTTTTCAGGGCAGTTTATAAGTTGCAAATTGGTCTGAAAATTTTGATAAAAACTCTCATTTGATATACTATCTAATATGTTACAAGTATTTTACAGATACATGTACATGTTACAAGTATTTCACAGATGTTTCTAAAATTGAAAGAGCCAGAAAAAGAAAATTGATTAATACATCTGAAAGTTTTAAAATAAAAAGTAGAAGAAAATCTTCTCGATTGTTATCAGTTAGTATCTCAACAAAATCTTCAGTTTTGCAGTCACTTTTTATTATTTTTAAAAATAAAAATCTTTACAGATTTTCATCACAAAAAAAGAAAAAAAAAGAAACTTAATTAATGTCAAACTTTTGATGGTGACTTATTGCATCAAACAGCTGAAGATAAAAATGATGAAAGTATTTTGTTACACATTAGAGACAAGGATTGTGTTGCTGTTGAGGTAAGGTATCATAAAACATGTTACAATGAATATACAAAACTTTGTAAATCATTGATACCACTGTCAGAGACATCTAGCAGCAACTTAATGTATAAGTTGTCCTTTGAATCATTTTGTAGATAAGTTATTGACACTAAAATCATCAAGTTGAAAAAAGTTTATCACCTTGGTTATCTTACTGAATATTTTATAAAAAGTGTTAAATGAGTAGAAAATTTGGATGCTAGCAATTATAAGAGCTGTCGCTTAAAGAAAAGATTAATAAATTGTTATCCTGATTTGGTATTTTATTGCAGTTAAAGTGAATTTGTTTTTTATAAAGATATAGATGCAGTTGTTTTAAGTAAAGAAAATGACAAACTTGGTTCTCAAAATTCACATAAATCAGGTCTTTCAGAAAATAATGAAAGTGAACAAGAGAACAATTTATTTAATGTCGTTCTGCCTTTCATTAAGTTTTTATGAAAATTAGAGAATCCCTTAGATGTGGAACTGGGATTAAAAATGGTTGGCCACCACCAGCTTCAGATTCCAGCCTTAAAAATGTTGAAAGTGAAATCCCACCTACTCTTTTTAATTTTCTGTCAATAACTCTTGGTTATACATATGAAGTTAATTACAAAAATTATGTCAATATAGAGTTTAAGCTGAAGTTCAAAGTTCTATCTATTGCACAATATTTATTATTTATTTTTTTAAAAGGTAAAACAATAACATATAAGTCTTTAGCATTAGCTACTGCTATCAAGCAAATGTTTGGTTCCTGTAAACTTGTAGGAAAAATGTTTGGTTCTTGTAAACTTGTAGGAATTTTAAATAACTTTAAACTTTAACTGCGAATATTCGGTTGTACCAAAGAATATTCAACAAAGTATCTATACTACACTTGTGTATGCAGATTTCATGAAAGAAACTCTTAACATTTCTGAAACAACCCATATTGCACATGGTGTTTGCATACAAAAACTGCCTAATTTTAATAAACCAGATAATGATTTTTTTGATGTTAGCAAGCGCATAAGGACAGTAAATGTTAAGTTGTGTGAAATACCAGTTTATTTTTTGGGAAAAATCTCTTAACTTAACAAAATTATTTGAATGCAAAAATGTAGTCATAAATGCTACTGACGTCAGGATTATTACAGACTTGTAAATTATCTCAGATACAGCAGGAATTTTGCCATGTTGGACAGGTTTTAACACAATACGCTCATTATACAATTCAAATAAAGGAAGCATTTCAACAATTACATACTTATCAATTATAAATGCTCCTGTTACTGATATATCCATCATTCATGAAATTTTAAATACTTGTATTAACATAGCTAACAAACTTTCACTTTATCAAATTGTAATGGTTTTTGACTAAACGTTTTATGCAAAAATACAAATGGTAAGATGAAAAAAATATAGAATTTGTTGATCGAATTTTTGTAAGATTTAAGGATTTCTACATGGTCATTTCCTTTATCGCAGCTATAACTAAACTTAATCAAATCATAAAGGTATTGCCTGTTTTTTCTTTTGTGGTGAAGTGTTAAGATTGAGTCAAACAATTTGTTTTACAATAATATAAAGTTTACTTACAAAATAATTGTCTTTGGTGTTTTTAAAAACATTATAGATTATAGAAATATCTTACTTGTTTGATTTTATAGTAATCAAGCTAGAATAATTTCCTTTTTTATGTTTGACAGATATTTTTTGTGAAATAAGAGAAAACTGGACAGTTAAAATACACGCATCATATGGCTTTGCAGATTTTGCATGTGACCAAACTATAGAACAAACTTTTAACAGGAGTAGTAATATTACATGTGGAATTCTAGGCATGAGCTGTTAAAAGAGGGGTGTTAATCCAAGTGGAGAGGGCTTTGTTAACTGAAGCAGCTGAGGAATTCGCAGGAGTATCTTCAATAACACAGTAAACATATTTGTAGTAATGATCCTTTTTTTATTTATGAAAATACATAAATGATTGAATGGATATAATATGGATATAATTGATTGAATGGATATAATGTTACATTCTAAAATTTTGAAACATTTTATAACCTAGTTTTTTAGATAGATTTTTAAATTTTTTTAAATTAATGTTTCAAAAGTATGTTTTTAAATATGATATTTAGTTGAGACAATGCTAAGTGTTTTAGAATATGTTTGGATGATGGATGGCGACGTATTGTAGATAAAATGGCTGTCAAATGAAATTGCTCATGATAGTGTCTTAAATTTTATTATTTTTATATATAAATTTTATTAATTTTATTTAAAATATTCCATATATTTATATACAATTTAGTATTTAAGCTGTTACAGATGCTAAAAAAGTTTTTAGATAACTATTTTATCTTACTCAATAAAAATAGATTCACTCGATAATATAAAATTAAATAAAAAAACAATGTAGTTCTGAGATGGAGGTCAAAAAAACTGTTTTCTGATAACATTTTTGTATCATAGATTGTGGTCTATAAGATGTTTTATTTCATAGAAAATCTTCTTAGCTCTTTTTTGATTTTTTTTTTTTTTGTTGAGTTTTTTAATTTAATTTCTTAAAATATAAATTCCATAGTGATATTGAAATTCCATAGTGATACTGAAACTCCATAGTGATATTGAAATTCCATAGTGATATTGAAATTCCATAGTAATATTGAAATTCCATAGTGATATTGAAATTTTATTTAAGGCTAGTATAGGAAATGAATAAAAGTTTCTAAATAATTGAACCTCAATGTGAAAATGTATGCTTTAACTTACCAAGTATTTGTTTACTTTAAAGCAAGATTAACGTGATTTTCCTGTTTTAAATTATTTGAACTTTGGATTTTGAGATCATGGTCCAATATATTGAACATAATTCATTGGACTTGTTATACATGATATACATAGTTTTGTATTTATTTATATTAATACCCATTTGCCATTTTGATATCCATTTAGTAAATTTGTTAATATCTAATTGCACTTTAGTTGTATCTTGTAGTACATTATTTTTATTCTAGCAAGTAACTTTGTGTTGTCTTCATACAATATTTGAATTTCAAATTATCAACAAGATAATAACATTAATAACATTTATATTTTGAAGACATATTCCTTTATAGTATGTATATTTTGAGTTAATTCAATGAATGAACTTTTAGACAAGAGGCATTTTGAGCATTAAAGGAAAGCTTATTTTCAAATTGATAGTATGATTTTATATATGATGATATGTAAATATATAATATAATTTATTATTATATAATAAATTTAATTTTCTAATGCTTAAAGATTCTTAAATTTTTAACTTCATTTAGAAAAGTTAAAAAATGAAAAAAAAACAGCAGAAAACAAAATTGCTATTTATATCACAGCTGCAGCTCTGGTTACAGTTTTATCTATATGTTTGGCTTTGGCAATAAAGTTTATAAGGAATTTCATCTATTTGCTTAAAAAACTTCAAGCGTTCAAAAATGGGAAATGTGTTTCATTTGAAGAGTTGGACATTCAAAATGTTTCTCGTGAAGGTAGTAAGTTATTTATGTCACCTTTTTCTCACTTGTCTTTTTTTTATATTGTTATTAAACTAAAATTTGCAATATGTCTGATGAATAATAAATTGTGAATTGCTAAGGTATTTTTTATGAAAATAATGTGCTGTGCATTTAGAAAATGAAATTGAGAAGTAAAAATTAATAAACATTTTTTTTCTATTTAACAATTTTATTAAGTTATCTTTTTTATCGTATGTGAAGTAAGTCTTTTTTCCAGAAAAAAAGTACATAGAAAAAATAAAAATACTTTCTTTTTTTTGATTTTTATCTTGGTGAAGACTTATATAAAACATAGTAACATCTTGACAACAGGATCAATTTGTACCCAAAGATTTCAATCTTTTTACCGATACTAGCTGCTTATGGTAAGTATTGATTCCGAATGATAAACATTGAATCCAAATTATGGTTTGGTTTTTGTTCATTAATATATTAAATCCAAGTTAATGCCTGGTTTTCTTTTTGCATTTTTTTTAATGCTAAAAAAAAAATCAAAATTTTTATAGCTGTTTAATGCTTTTCCATTTAGACTGTTCAATATATGACTCTTCACTGTAATTGTACCTGAGTTCAGCTTCTCATTATAATTAGTTTCAAACTTGTAAAGGCTGCATCAAAAAATATTGATAATATATAATATATAAACCTAAGGAATAATGAATTTTTTATAACTGTCAACAGTTTTTTAAATCTTGCAGAGTTTCATAAATCTTTAAAGTGTCATAGCAACGTTTTTTTAATGATGATCTAGTTTTATGGTTTCTGTTTTCCTGTTAACAAATTGGCATCGTTGTAACAATTTATTGTTAGAAATGAATTCACTACTGCATGTAAACTTTTTTATATAAACTATAATAGTAGAAATACCTTCAACTTAAAAATAATTAGTTATTTTTTAAACAAAGAAATGAAATCTAAAATAAATTATAATTTTTTTCAGCATAATTGAAACTTTATATAGTCTAATCTAGCATTTTAGGGACTTTTTTATCTCTAAAAATTGGCTCAAAAAATTTATTAAAAAAAATCAGGAGTTTAAGGAGTCCCTTTTTTTGACTCCAGATTCTGGAGTCCCTAAAAATTTATAGGATTTTGAACCCCTGGTTTTCTTACAGTATTTTCTTATGACTATAATTTACTTCTTCTTTTAAAAGCATTTTTTTTGCTGCATCTTTGAAAATTACTTAAAAGTCCATTCAAAAATCTAATGAAAGTCACTTGAAAGTCCATCAAAATATCTTATCAGACAATTGGCAAATGTTCTTTATTGTGGAATTTGTTTCAGTATAACTGTTTCAGTATACCTTATGTAAAATATTTTTTAAATCAAAAAATATATTTTCAATTATATAAGTGTTTAGGTGTCACCCGCAAATTACATCATGCGATAGAGGGGAGATTTTACCAATTTTGTGAAGGTTTGGAAAGGGGGATGGGGTATTTAATTTTGTGAGACAACATTTTTTTAAATCTAGAATCTCAAAAAACTATTGATTAAAAAAGAAATTTAAAAAAGTGCTTAACCTAAATACTAAACCGTCAATTGGTTTATGCACACTTGCATAAACCTATTGACGTCAATTTGAAAAGTCTGTTCCAATTTAACTTAAATTGAATTAACTAGTTAAATTGACTCAAATTTTAGTAGATTATTGTAAAATTTTAGTAGACTTCGTAGCATCTATGGCTTTATATGTCAACGATATAACTAATATACCATCAATGAAAAAATAATAATATATTTATTAAATAAAAATAATAATATAATAATATAACAACAATAATAGTTAATACACATTAGCATTAAATATTATGTTAGTATAACTTCAATCTCAGACTTCAAGGTCAAGCTTTTCAATCACTTGTTACTAAAATACAAATAAATATCTCTGCAGTCAAATTCCAAGTTTCCTTTAATATTTATAAATTAGTAATCCTCTGGCTTTTCATTCTCCTATCCTCAATAACTCTAAATGCTCTATCTATTTATCAAATTCTGCCTACTTAGTCTATTCTTATCCTTAATTCCTTGGTTATTTATTCTGCTTTTCCTTTTATATATTTATCTTTTTCATTTTGCTATTTTTATTGTTAGTATATTATCATTGTTATTGACGAGAATTTTCTTGAATCTTTATTTATATTCATAATCAATTTATTTTCTTTTAATTGTCTCTATTTATCTTAACTTCATTGTTAATATTATCACTGTTATTGACGAGGATTTACTTGAATCTTTATTTATTGTCATCACTAATTTATTTTCTTTCATTTCTATTTATCTTATTTTAATTGGTAATATTATCTTTGTTATTAAAGATTTTTTATTATGATTATTATTCTTTTTTATTATGACTGAATTTTATATTATGATTATTTGATTATTTTGTTTTCAGATGATAGTAATATTAACTTTTTTGTCATTTTAATTTTACTTTTTATTTTACTATCAGAATTACTAGTTATTGCTATATATATATATATTGACTTAATGTTTATTGTTGTTTTAATTGTTAGTAGTATTTACACTATTAATATAATATTATTATTACTATTAATATATTTTTAAACGTCTATGTTGATATTTTGTATTAGGTATTTGCTTTATATTAGTACTCGTACTATTGTAAGTATCCTTAAAATGTTAAACAACTTGTTTTAGAATATATTTGATTTGATTTGATTTGATATAACCTGCACAGCGACACTTATTGCTAAAGAAGTTATTTAAATAATATATTTATAAAAAATTTAATATCTTGGGTGATTATTTGTCTGTTTAGTCACTGTTAATTTATATAACTTTAAATCGAATTATGGGAGTGCAAAAACTACTTCTCATGTACCTATCTAAGTCAATTGATCAACTGATTTAAATAGGTATGAGGGATACGTTGATCAATGTTTGTAACTATGCTGCAGCTATGGCAACATCAGTCAATTTATGTACACATTGATTATTATTCTATGAAACTTTTAAAAATTTAAGTAATAAGTAAATATGGTTATAATATCAAAATAATATTTATTATCATATAACTATCAAACAAACAATGATGTTTTAAACATTTAAAAATACTTTAAAATAAAACATCAAAATATACCATTTCGATCTCTTAAGAGAAAATTGAATCTGTACTTATGATTGCCGCGCCTTGAAATTTGAAAGTTTACACATTCACAGCACTTTGCAATTATAATAAAATGGTAAAAAATTAAAGAATTAAAAATAATAGTTTTTGTGGCTTTATTAATTGTACATGTGTACAAATAATGAGTTTCAAAGTAATATTAAATAATGATTAAAATTTATATGTATTAAAATTTATTTATTAGATAACTAAAAGCAATTAAGAAAATTAAAAATATTATTGTATTTAAAACAACAACAACAAAAAATTTTAGGGGTGGGGGATACAAATCTGATGCATAATTATTTTTTTCTTAATTTGGGGGGAAGAGGGTCAGTAAAGAGTGACAATTTGTTACTAAAGGCTTGAAAAAGTTTCAAAAATGTCAAAAAGTGGGTGACGTAATTTATTGATGACCCCTTAGTGATAATTGACCAATGATTTTCTCAATCAGTCATAAAATTGACTGGTGGTGGTGGTTAAAGATTTTAGTTGATCATATTTTTTTCATCTGTGGAACTTAAAGTAAATTTCTGACAAATTGACTGATGATAAACATAGCAGAAGGCCAGCAACAAAAAATAACAATATCTATGTTTTACAAGTATTTACTATTACCAGATGTAAATCATAAAAGTATACAATTTTGATAAACTTTATCTTAACAAATAGAAAGATATAATCTATAAAATAATATAAAATAAATATAATAAAAAGTATATAATAAACTACATGTTTGACAGTATAGCTTACGATTTTAGGCAGTACAGTTAACCCTTTTAAAATTGTATTTTAAAACAATAATAAAAAATTTAAAAAAATAAAAAATTAGTTCAAATTTTTTTATTGAAGATTTTAGTGAACTTTTCTTAATAAGAATAATAAATATTTTTAGATATATCTGTAATGATAGTGCGCCCTCGTGGTTGTGGTATATTAGAAGAATTAGTGTTGGCACTTGCTAATATTTTGAATTCTAATGGAATAAACGTTCTAGCTGAATTCCTGCAGGCCGAAAAAATAAACAATAAAGGTTTGGCAGTTGTTTTACAGGAAGACTTTGAAAAAGCTGATTATGTAGTTATACTGTGTACGGAGCCAATCGGTAATAGTTTTACTACTGATATTTTGTTTATGTAATTTGTTGTTGCCACTAATGCTATCTAATTGAAATGTACACAAAAATTTATCTTTAATTTGTTCTCTTGAATGACACTGCTTTGACTATTGAAACCGACACTGTTTTGATTAGTGGTGAAATTGTTAATAAAGTTAATGTTACTTATATTTTTAATTTTTATTGATGATTTTTTTAAATTATAACAGTTAAAGTTATCAATACTATTATTATTATTATTATTATTATTATTATTATTATTATTATTATTATTATTATTACTATTAATTTTATTGTTAATATTATTGTAATTAATATTGTTGTTTTTAATATTGATTCATATTGTTTTAGGCTCACCGCTTGAAATTCACAACTCTTATAAATTTGTGATAAATCAACTTTTATCTAACAATGCATTGAAAGGTGATAGCCTAAGTAAATATATTGCAGTTTACTTTGATAGTTGTGATAAATTTGTTCCTTGTTATCTTCACCAACGAACATATTTACTTCCTACTTTTTTTGATGCATTTATTCTAAATCTTTATGGAGTACAGTTTCCATTTCCAACCATAATTTCTAAAATGTTGAAAGAAACACGTGAAATGGTAAAAAAGAAGAAACAATTTCGTTTACTCTGTGAAAAACTCAAAGATAGTAATCATATTGATTGTGACCCTAACAACTGTAGAAAAGTAAGATTTTGATAGCACCTACAAGTTTTTTTTTCTATAAAATTTTAATAAGATTTTTTTAAATTGTTATTTTAAATATGCTATTTTAAGTATGATTGTGTCAAATTAAATTTTGGGACTTGGGAATTTATTTTTACTTTTATTTTTTTGTTTGTTATATTAACAGTGCATTAGTAAAAAATGACATTCAGTAATCTGACTGCCATTTTTTGATGTGGAAAAACTTTTTCCAAAGTTTACTTAACTAGTAATTGAGTCAAATATTTGAGTTTACGAATTGAAGTACAAATTTTTCTGACTAAAGTTGTTTTAGCAAAGTTAAAATATACAGCTGAGTATTGTTGCTTGCTTTAATAAATTAGGTAACAAAGTTAAAGATGTTTAATAGCTGTAGATTGTATTCTTTTTACACTTTTGCTAAAAGTCAAAATATTATGAATGGTTATAAAGACTAAAGACTTAAAATTTCTTAGGATCAACTTAGGAACTAAGGTAACTCAAATAAGTTAAAAATGGCTTAAGAGCTTTAGTTCAATAATTAAATGAAGAATAGTTTTCAATTTCTTATGTGATGAGTGGATTTCAGGCATAACCGGAAGGTTAACGTGACTAATGTATATTGTTCATGTCACTATAGATTTGAAATGCTTAGAATAAATGGCCCAATCCTTTTAGTTATTATTGTTATTGAAAAGTTACATGAAGCTTGAGTTTAATCAATGGGGTGTTACTTATAGTGCATCAGTTATGAGAAAAATAGGGTAAGAACTATCCATTAACTTTATTGCTGCCTTCATCTTGAAGTATAGGATATTCTTAAGAAAAACTAATCAATGATGAGGAGAATAAAAATGAAGAAGTTGGTTCTGATCCTAATTATGATAATGGCAATTGAGAATGTTGGAACAAAGTAAGTTGACTTGTTTAGAAAATCACCATCTAATGTTGATACTTCAAAATATTTTTAGAGTTTTAAGAATTCAGGTTACTTAAGATGATATAATGATATGTATGATATGATAGGACGTAAGAAGAAATTGCTGCTTTATTATGCTAGTTGCATCTAGTGTTATTAAAAATAACTTAGAGTTACTAGATAATGTTTTAAATACAAAAATCAAAATGAAATTGCTAAAACAGCAAGAGAACATGTTTACGGTTATTTCTACACAAGAATAACTTAAAAAGTCAGCATGAAGCAGAAGCAACACTGGTTCGGATTTTAGATAAAATGTCATCACTGGTAAAATTCTCCATAAAATATAAAAAAAAAAATTTTAAACGATCCACCCTAATGTATGCCTAATCCAATTTAAATATGAAAGAGGACACCCACTAAATATAAATATGAAAGAGGACACCTTAATTTTCATCCTATTTAAAAATTTATTTATCAAAAAAATTCTCCTAAATAAGCTTATTCGTTATATTAGTAAGTTGTCTAGCATATGCATTTAAATGCTTGTGTCATTTTAAGGAACTAAAAATGTAGCTAAAATAGCTTGATAATATAGAAAATAATCTAAAATAAGACCAAAAGTTTAGAAATGGTCCGCAAATCAGTTGTATCTGGACATGCAGTGCACTGATTTTAGAACTAATTCCACCAAATGAAGCTGCAACTCCTCGAGAAATAAGGAACTGGGTTTGTTAATTATATTTTTTAGTTCTCGTTGGAAATATTCTAAGGATGGATTAGTCGCTCATAGTTTTTAAAACTGCGTAGTTGATTCAAATAGCAAACATTTGTAGAGATATTCAATTTAACTTTAGAGAACTGTTCGTATTTTATCATTTAATCTAATGAATATGTTTTGTTTTATTTGCGTGAATATATTAAATGAAAAAAGTTTTTACAATGCTGTAAAAAAGCAGGATGTTTAATACTTTTTGTGTATGATTTAAAAAACTAATAAGAGCCACCTATACCCTTGAAGTTGTTTGAGCCATGATTTAATCAGAGGAGTAAGAAATTATTTAAGCCATTGTTTCATAAATAATAACTAATTAATATTATTTATCTAATTTTTTTTTTTAATTTGTAATTACTATATATGTTGGGTAATTTTAATTATGACCATAAAGTTTACTCATCATTTTTTCGTATGATTTATACTTTCTAGAATGAAATAAGGCATAGCATCAGTATGTACTTATTTGTAAATTATATACAATTTTGATAAATATGGTCAAAAAATAGGGTCAAAAAATACATATTAACAAATCTGCGAGTTGCAACATATGTCAACTCGCAGATTTGTAAATATATATTTTTTGACACACATTGCAAAAACTTTTGTTGAGTTAATACAAACAAAATATATTTTTTTTCAAGGCAAATTTTGAAGCAAGAAGTTCACACAGTTCTTTGAGTCGTTTCAGTTTTGAATCTTCTGGTAACATTAATGATGAAGAATTTGATTTTCAGAATAATTTTATTATACAAAAGAAAGTCTTTCTCAAGAAACCACTTGATGAAACTAACCTTTAGATGATTTTTTTTTTGGTCATATTTTTTTAAATATAAGCAAATTTTGTATTTATATAATGTAATATTTTACAAATAAATTTTTTGATTTTATTGTTGCTATAATCTTATTCTTTCGCTGCGCTGTTTAGTTGCCTGTTTTTAAATCACGATTAAAATTATTGTGCAGAAGTGAAGTCCATGTAAAGTTTTCAGTTATCTCGTTTTAGTAAGATGCATTTTCTATACGGTCAACACGTCAATAGGTACATTTTTTTAAATTTACTTTATGTCAAAAACTTTGATTTAATTTTAAAAAACAAAAAGTTTTTCACAAAGTCTTATTTCTCTCGCGCGGGGTCAGAAAAATTGGTCATGTGGGCAGCATAAATTTTGAGGTATTTATGTTCCTTAGCACTAACCGACATAATTTTTTGTAAAACATCTTATTTTGTAAAACATTTCTTTCACAGACAATCTTGAACATGTAAAAATATGAGTCCAGTCTGAATGTAACCATTTTTTATTCATATATACTAACACTTGTATACAAATATTTTTTTATAATTTGAATTTTATTAAACTTAATTTCTTAAAAAGTAAAATTTTGAGATATTAATCAAACACGGAAATACGGCATATAAAAGGCTTAAACAAATCTTAAATAAAAAAATGCGAAGCAAAAAACGAAATTGAGAGAAGGATATCAACCGATAAGGTAACCCAAAAGAATAATCATTGTTAAAAAAAAAATCTAAAATCGCACGTGTATAAGCATATCAAACTATTCTCTTGCTAATATCGGAGTCAGCGAAAATATTGGATGAATAAAGATCTTTTTGCTAGAATCTTTTTTTTTGGGTATGAGTAAAGAATGTATCTTCTGCATTCTATGATCAAAACCACGCCCATTGCGCCCTACTGTTTATAATCGAAACAGCGAACATAGTGATGACGATTAATAAAAGTTATAGCTTGTTGATAAAAATAAATACAACAATAGAAACTCCAAATAAAACTTTTAAAATATTTTCTTTTATAAAAGCACTTTTTTTTTAAGTTGTCATTTTTGGTAAAAATCAAAGTTTTTAAAAACTGTTCAATGGTACGGCAGCCGTAATGTTTTAAAAAAATTTTTAAACATTACGGCTTATTAAGCAAATAACTTGTCTAATAAGATTGTAAAATCGTTTTATTATCGGGGTTAAGCTCAACTTACATTTAAATGTAAAATAATTAACATTAAAACACAATTAAGTTGATATATATTTGAAATATTCATTTCAAGATACATTTCAATTACTTTTGTATTAGTAAAAATTTTTAAGAAATTAAAAAGGCGTGCAAGACGCTTCTTAAAAAGATTTAGGTTGAGCAATATTTATATGATTTCAATGATGTAATTGAATCAGTTTATGTTTTAACCCAAAGTTTCTTGTTTTGTATAATATTCCAATATTTTTAGAGGTTTAGCTGCACAGACTTTTAATAAGACTTTTCCATGTAAAATTTTTATGGGGGTTTTTTATTACAATCTTTTTAACGTATATTTAAGATTTGGTATATTTTTTTATTATTATTATTATTTTTTATCAATTATTATTGGTTTTTAGTGTTAAAAAAAAATTTAATATAAAGCCAATTGACTAGTATTATTTTTTTTTCGATTTTAATATAATTTTGAATTTAATAGTTTAAATTTTTTTTTTTTTTTAAGGTTTTGAGTAGAAAAGAGTCCATTTAATTTTTATAATGTTAATAGTTTATAAAATATAAACAAGTTTGAGATTTTGACTAGTTCAAAAAAAAAAAGTTACTATAAAAGTAAAATAATACTGTAAAAGCTCGGAGTTATTAACAAATGTTACTCTGATGAAATAAGAAATTTGTTAAACTCATTATCATAATTGAAAAATAGACTTGATTGATTGATGAACGTGTTAGCATCTATTAGACATTCATAATGACTTTACTCAATAGTTTAATAAACTTTTTTAAATAAATGTTTTATTAGTTTTTAATTTAATTTTTAACGTTTTGTTTACAAATGCTCGAATAAAACATTTTTAAAAAACATACTGGTTGTCTCAATGAATAGAATGTGAATACAGCCTCTGCTCATTAAGTCAATGTTTTTATTTTTATTATAAACTTATTATTTATTTTTAAACTTAAAAGAAGCTGTTGCACAGATTTTATGCAATTTTTATTCCTTTGATTTTGATACAAACAGAAAATTTATATGAAAATATATCAGTATTTACTGTGTAATTCCTAGAACTGATTTTTAATTTGTTCGGCGAGCTGCTTGCAACATTCTTTGTTAATTTAAAATTCTGTGTAGTATGCTCAATATTTATTTGGACTCTTTTTTAGGTGCCATTCGCTTTACTTGAGTATATTTCTAAGCATTTGATCTTTTCTGCAAGCATACTTAAGTTTTCCTTTAAATATACTTAATATATAAAATGTCACGTAAAACCTATTTATTGTTTCTATCTTTCTCCTGAGGAAAATTAGCCAATTAGAAAATTATTTTCTGTTGAGGGCAATTACAATTTATGCTTTGATCTCTTCCTTGATGCAACAATTTACAATAGGTTATTGTTCTTTTTTTTTTTCGGGGGAAAGACCCAAAAATAGTATTTAATAACAAAAGCGAATGCAATAAAGTTATTTTTAGAAAGGTCCTTTGGCAATACAACAACCTTTTAATTTACATGGTTTTCCAAAAAATATTTGTTTAATATATAATTTTGCAATATAAATATGCAATAGCTTTGTTCGTTTATAAATGTTTAGTTTATATATAAGTTTATATATGGCTTGAAAAAACAAAATGATGTTGGTTCATTTGCAGTTGTTTTTTGGTATCTGACATTGGTAAACTTCGGAATGGCTGTTTCCTCATTTCTTTTTGATTATGTTGGGTAATAACTAACAAGATTTTAAAACAAAGTAATTGCACAATATTTACTTTTCATGAAATAGAAAATGACAATGCATTAAATTCATTATTTGAAATAATCTTTAATTATTTGTAAATTATTCAAATGCAGAAGTTAGGTTTGTTAGACATTCGATGCTTTATATTGTAAGTTGATTTTATGTTTGATTATCTTTTTATACTAAGTTATAAACTGACATAAACTTATTTCCACAACCAAAGGTTCCAATGTTAACTTGCCGCTACAAACTTTTATAAATTCTTTCTTTAAAAATCCAATAGCTAGATTTTTTAAAACTGATACTTTAAGATCAAAATACGAAAAAATAATCAAAACGTAAGATACAGATATAAGAGATAAAATCTAATACATTAAATATAAATTTTACATCGGTTTCATTTTATTTATTTTGAAAATACTGCAGAGAATCACAACTCAGTGCTCATTGGTGCGTTAAAAAAACAGTGCCGTTAGACTATTCCGTCTTATAATGCCCGTCTTCAGCATTTTTGAATAATCAAAATGGCTTTAAGTTTTTTTAGCAAAATAAGAGACGAATTGCAAATTATATAGTTAAATAATGGATTTATGTTGCATCACTTGAATGATGTCTAAATGTTAGAACACGTCAGAGATAATGTACATAAAATGGATATTATTGATGCATATCTCTTATATTGCGTTTGCTCAGAGTTTTTATGCGAGAACACCATATAGTTTAGAAGATCTACATAAAAGGACGTTCTACGACAAACTGTCTGCATTATATAACAGAAATAAAATAGTAGGAAATGCTAAACAAGCACAATTTTTTCCTTCATGGGCAACCATGTACAATAAATTAAAGAATCAAAGAAATCATATGTTAAGTGAAAGAAAAAATAATATTTATAACCAATATAGTCCGTCTACATCCATTTATGATCAAAAATATGTTAATGCCAAATTGAATTTTAATCCTTTTTTTTACCCATCACCAAGTTCATTTTTTTCAACTTTTATCACTAATCCAAATACATATGGTTCTTATTACGATGCAAATCCTGCCAAAGTTTACTGGGTGCAGCATTCCTACTTACCAAAGCCTTTTTCAACTATCTCAAGAAATATACTAAAAAATGATTTAACTCAACCTCCTCATGCCATTAATACTAAAAGAACAGACATTTTAACGATCTTAAACAAAGGTTTCCCTAAAAAAGCTTTGAATTATACTAAACTAAGTTATAAAAGTAAACCTTCTTATCAAAATTATAAAGTTCCTCGCATTGCGGTACACGGTAAATTGTTTCGTATGGTAAAATTGAAACCAATCAATAATTTTAACAATAAAGACTATTTTATTACATTAAAAAGTAATTTGACCAAAACAAAAAAACTTCTGAACAGTTCTATTATTGATAAAAGTTTGACGCTACGTAAAGAAGTCAGCAAAAAATATGAAATGGCTAAGTTTACCAAGGGAACTAAAAAAATACCTAAAAATACATTTAAAAGTTTATCAAATACTAAAAAAAGTAATGGTAACGCGAAACGGTATTCTTCAAAAAAAACAGTTGTACCTCATGCTTATCAACAACAACGTTTGAAAAAACATCACATGTTTCGTGCAACTGATGTTCCATCACAACCTTTAGGAGAGTGGGAATATCGCAAGTTTCGAGTGTACCATGAAATTCCAAACAAATTTGTTTCTGTTTTTGAAACTCCTTACAATTTTGATGAGGAAAAATCACGTGATTTGGATTTAAATAATGATGATAACGAACTTGTTCAAGGTAAAGTTATTGTATAACATTTAAACATCATTTATATATATGTAAATATATACAGTGGCGTACGAACCAGAAACCCTAAAATCATAGCTCCCCTGCCCAAACAGGAGAGAACAAGTTTATATTTTTTGTGCTATTTTCAACTAGACTTATATTCATCAAGAAATTATAAATTTCATAGTAAAATATTTTAGTGTTCAAAAATTATGACCATTTAAAGTTTGCAACCCCCTTAAATTAGGGGGGTAGGTAACCCCCTCAATAAGGCGGGGGGTTAAAACTTAATATAGTCATAATTTTTGAACACTAAAATATTTTGTTATGAAATTTAAAATTTCTCGATGAATATACAAAAAATATTTCATCAATTTGTTGCTCTCACGTTTGGGTCAGGGGGGCTAAAACTTTTGGGTTTCTTGTTCCCATTTTCCTATCACAGTAATTTTTTTTTAAAGATTCTTCATACATATGAACGTAAAAAAATTTGGAATATTCTTGTTGTTTATAAGTTGGTTACTTCAAACATTTAAAAACCTTTCTACGCCACTGTATATATATATATATATATATATATATATATATATATATATATATATATATATATATATATATATATATATATATATATATATATATATATATATATATACATATATATAATGCAAATTAAAGACATCAGTTATCCGAAATTAATCATACTTTGTGCTTTTCATTTAGTCTAACTGTTCAGTTACAAACCCTTAAAAGCAATTTTTATGATCTTATTATAAAATAAAAGTTTAAGGAAAAAAAAAATATGTTCATTTCGCCAGGCGAAATGAACATATTTTTAAATGAATTTTTATTGTAACACATAATCCAGTTTTCCTTTGGGAGATCATGAACTTTTTACTGCAACTTAATTCAACAATTGTCTTTTAAATTATTATTTTATTTTTTAAATGTTAAAACTTGAAAAGATTACAAAAAAAAACCATAAACAAAACTTGGGGACCAATTTTGTGCACTGTTCTTATGCAACCAACACTTGCATTTATGACAGATGATTTAGTGTTCTGTGGGCGGATCCTGATATTTTTTTTTGCAAATTAAACAACAAATTTTAGTATCACCTCAGAAACTTTTGTTTTTCTTTACATGATTTTAAATTAACTCTAATTGATTAAAGTTCTTTTTTCTCTTTTTACTTTTTATCAGCAACATTTTTTACCTTTTTGTTCCTTCCTAACTTTTTTTGCTTTGCTTAAAATATTTCTTAATATACCAGTAGTTTTTTTTTTCGTAAACATTCTCAGTTTTTCTTTACTTGGCAAATTAGGTACAGAAATTATATTTAAAGAATTTATATGTTAAAATTAAATGTGACAAAAGTTAGAAACATTAATGTTCTGGTTGCCTGGCATCCATGTGTTGACACTTTAGACGTTTGAAATTACCCCACTTAGATCGTTCATTATTTCTTTAAGGACACAAACAATTGAAATACAATTAATATGTTAACATACCTACAATATAATAATTGTTAAAAACTCCTTCATTATGATACTATGCAACAACAAAAACAAAAGCAGTGGTTTTATATCCAAAGTAGCTATAACAGAAATGTTTCTCAAGAAAAAAGTTGCATAAAATAATTAGAAAAAGTTAGAATCAATTTATCGTAAACAACTATAACAGCTTCATTACAGTATTACACGTCTGGAACTGAGCATGGGACTCCTCCTCAGCAGGTAAAAAAAAATTGTCAAGTATCTTATTCTATTATGCTGTTTGACCATGTTCAGAGTTACCCCGTGTTCTCCCTTACCCTACTCTCCCCTAACATACGTTGACGCTATAACATTCGTTCTTAAAATATACGTAATAAATTTTACTTCTTTCTTTATATAAAGGTGAGTTTCCACTCATCCGTTTTTTCACGGGAAAGGGAAAGGGAAGAGAAAAATAATCACGTGAGCATGCGTATTATAAGTTTTAATTTGTCCGAAGTAAAACTACGCATGCTCACGTGATTATTTTTCCCTTTCCTATCCCGTTCCCATAGAAAAACAGATGAGTAGAAACTCACCTTAACATTTTAAATTTTCTTGGGTAAATAACATTAGTTTTTGAGAAAATAATATTTGTTTTGGATAAATATCATTTGATTAGTATCCTCTAAGTATACCTCCTACAATTACTCACCACCACAGAATCTTTGAACCGCTCCTGTTAGCGGCCTCTTTTGATAATTAGGCATTTATATCAGTTTTAAGTGATTTAACTACTTGTGAGTCAAAAAGAGCGCGTAGCGAGCAATGTTTAATCTTTTCCAGCTCTTTTGAACATAAAACTTCCCCTTCATTCACTTCCTTTTTACACACCCCATTGATATTAAAATGTTTCATCATTACTGTGTGGTAGTAAAGCACTTTTTGAGGTAAAAAACACTCGCAGATTTGTTTTATACATAAACATGTTTTTTTATTTTTTTTATTTTGCATCTAGTTTCTTTTTATATCAAATATGACTGACTTGGTTATTAATATTTTTAAAAATTAATTTTGAATTTTTAACTCTTGGTACTTTATAGCATACACTCACTGATTTTTGGAGTTATACTGTTTTTAATGTGTTCTTTTTTAAAATATATTTGCTAAATTTTAGAGTTTGATACTAACGAAAACCAACAACGACGGATACCAATTTTAAACATCATCACCCATGCTGATGATGACATACATGTTAAAAACATCGTTTCGCACTCTGATAATGATGGCATGCACGGAGAGCATGAACATCGAATATCTAAAATCTTTGACACAGAAAAATTCAAAGAAGAAGATTCAGTTAGAAAATCAGTACTAAACAGTGGAAAAGCATTTGAAGAAAATTTTCATCCGGAGCCTATTTCAACCGAGACAGCCTCAAAACGTGAAATGAGTGAAGAGGAATTGGAGGCAATTCGTGAGGATCAGAGGGCTAATTCACTTATTAAAGCTTCAGAAGAACATAAAATTGAAGAGCCAGAAACCTTAGGTATAGGACCAGGTGGTTTAAATCCAATAGATAAATCTCTTGTTACATCAAGAATGCAAAATGCACCAATTGAAGGACTTGTTTTGAACAACTTTAATCAGGGGGTAGAAACTAATCCGCTAAAACAAAACAATGTAAACTTTGCTAGTAATGATAATCTTGAAACTCAAAAAGAAATATCTACAAGTAGCATGTACCAGCCATTTGATAGCCCTGAAAAACAAAATATTCACCCAACTAAAGAAGAGAACTCTTATGACGACGAAAAGTCTACCCAAAACTTTGAAAAGACAAAAGGGCCTTCTTTCCCTCTGCAACAAAGTGAACACAGTATGCAGGGTAAGTATATAAAATACGTTTTTATAATAAAAACATTTTAATGCTTTGACCCAATTATAAATTGATGATAATACTGAGAAAAAAAGATAAACCAATTTTTTAATAAATTTAGCCTACTGAGAGAAGACAAATTTAAACCAATTTTTTAATAAATTTTGCCTATTGAGTAAAGAAAAACATAAACCAATTTTTTATTAAATTTTGCCTATTGAGTGAAGAAAAATATAAACCAATTTAAGATCTTTTTGTTAATGCTAAATCATTGTTTAACGCAAAAACGTTAAAAAATTGGTTAAACACAATAAACCAACATGTTTTTTAATACTTTGGTGCGATAACAATATTGTACAACATAACATAGTATTTATTTTAATATATACCAGCAAAATATTACTTTTTTTTAGATTACTATGAAAGGCACAACGATGATGCAGGATTAAAATCTCCGATAGAAAAATTTTCTAATGAACCTCCTTTAGAAATGACGTTGCGATCTGGAGACACAACAAATCTAGAAGAAACAATCAATCAGCTACAATCCACTGATCCTGAATCTCAAAAATTAGTGAACCAATTTACCTCAACAAAATCTTCGTATCGAGCACCAGAGATTTTAGACAACGTTCCTAATAACATCAATCCAATGGTTTCAAACGAAGACAATAGTGATATTTCAAATGAAAAACAAAAGGAAGTCTTTGATGACGTGTTGGACCCCGAAAAAGCTCAAGAAAGAGCTCTTCATTTTTCTACGCAAGCAGAAATTAACAAAAAGCTTAATCATGACGTTTTAGATCCACAAGCACCTGGGTTAATTACCAATTCTGAAGATGGTTTTCAAGAAAAAACAGAACTTTTAACTCCTCCAACAGGGCTCAATGAGTTACCGTATAAAAATAAAGATGTTGGAGAAACGGTTGCCAGAAACGAAGTTAAGTCAGACTCTTATTCTGAAAGTCATTCATTAGAACACGAGGAAGCATATAACCCTCGTAAAACCCTTGAACACACTGAAGCATATTTGCATCACAAATCTCTTGAAGGAACAGAATCATATTTACCCCAAAAATCTCTAGAAAGAACAGAAACGTATTTACCTCAAAAGTCATTTGAAAAAAGTGAATTGTATTCATCTCATAAACCCATTGAACAAGTTGAAGCGTATTCCCCTCATAACGCTATTGAACATACAGAAGCATATTCGCCTCATAACACGCTCGAACATGTCGACGCGGATTTAACACCAAATCTTATGGAACATACTCAATCGTATTCATCGCACAACTCACTTGAGCACATAGATAAATACGTTCCTCCTAGCCCTAAAAATACTGAAGCATATTTACCTAATAACCCTGAAACATCTTTAACACAATTGGTTAAGCCTCATCAAAAAGGTACTCCAACTAAAACATGGCCGAAAGTTGGTCTAAAACCTGTATTACCATCAAATAAAAAGTCAAATAATGAAATACAGGAGCATCACAAAGAAGTCAATGATTTTAATCCAGATGATACAGATAATGATCCTAAAAGCGAAACAATGTCTCCCGAAGATGCACTAAACGCATTAAATAATATAAATCTCAGTCCCCATCATGCAATTCTCAATTTAAAATCAACCAGAAGTTCTAGTGATGAAATACATGTTAATCATTCCGAAAACGATTCTTCTAAAATTCTAACAACTGTTGACACAAAAACTGCTGATGAAAATTTACTCCAAGTGAGAAGTACACCAATACCTATTATATCAACAGTTAAAACTACACCATTTGTAGAAATAATTAATAAAAAACCTTCTGAAAGTACAACCACTTTAAAAATTTTGGAAAAGCACAAAAACGAAACTTTAAAAAATAATAGTATTGCCGAATTAGAGAACGCAAAAGTAACAAAAGAAGTATTAAGCATTCTAGAGAGTTTGGGACAATTAAAAACTAAACCCTTCACTCATAAAGAAACCACTGTTACTGGTAGTAATAATAATACAATCTCTAAAAATAATCAATCACAAAGTGTAGCAAATAACACAAACGCTCAACAACAGTTAACCAAAATCAATAATACAAGTAATGAAAAATCATTAATTACACAAGAAGACCCCGAGGAAAAGGAAACAAAAGAAGCAGTACATGATCTTAGCATTGCAATCGGTATTTTAGAAAGGAAGCTGGCTTTAATAAAAGCTGCTAAAGTGAGTGGAGTACAAAATGGTACAATGTTTAACGCACAAACTGCAAAAGATACAGTCAAAAGTATTGTACCGCAAGTTCTTAACCCTAGAAGCAATATACCTCATTTAAAACATAAAAATCGTTTAAATATGCCTCGAGTAAATAAAAACATTCGCTCTAAAATTCAGAACAAAATAATGACGTTTGCAAAACGTCAGAATATATATAAAAGAAAAATAAAGGAAAAATAAATATAAAAGAAATTCGTAGAAATATTTCAATATTTAGTTAGATAGCGCTTATGTACTAATATGTAAATACTCTTAATTGTGATAAATAATTTGACTTAATTTTTAAATGTCGTTTACTTTAATATGAATCAAAATTTAAATTAATAACAAAAATATAATATCTTTTTCTTTAAACAATGTTTTTTTTAAAAGAAACTTCTTTTTTTATTCGAAAAATAAGTTAACTTCGCTATACCTAGGAATTTTTTTTATAGGTACTCCATATTATTGGGTCTTGAAATGCAACACCTTCCGTATAATTATTAAATTTCCAGTTTTTATGTGTTACTTATATTTGTTCTTACTCTGTAAAAAATGTCACGCCAAATTTTTGAATAAAACTGTCATGTCACGAAGCCCGATTTAATTCGCGACATTTAGAATTAAAATTGTCACGCGACTTTTAGTTATTAGGTGTGGCGTGACATTTATTAGTCACACAATTTATTTTTTTTTTATAATATAATTTCAATTTTATTTTATGGACAGTAGTAATATCTGGACTCATTTACATTTATTTGTTCTAAACCAAAATTTTACTGGTCTAATAAACTTTTTCAATTCTCAAAAAAGTACCCTACATTATTTCTAATAAATGCAATAGCACATTCATATTGATATGCGAGTTATCTAATTATTTTTGGAGCTATGATAGAGCATTCTTGCCATTTTTAATTAGTCAATTAATTCTTTCTCTTCTTTATTAGAAATTACATGTGACTGTCTAGAATTTGGGACATATTCAATATAACTAGTAGAACTTTTCTTTTTTTATCTTTGAGAGACAGTTAAAATTTTGCAAATTTTAGCATTCAATTACCTATATAAGTATTTTGGGAGAACCACTGTATTTTTTGTCATCGTTTAATAAGTCTGCTATTATTAGCAGACATTAAAGGTGGCTAGCCGATAACTAGCCACTATTAACATGTCGGAAATTTATCGGCTTGCTATTTATAGCGGTTGCCACTAATGGTCCATATAGTAACCAAAGATCAAAACTCAAATCAATCGCTAAAAAATGCCATAGGTTCTCTGCAAATCCACTAAAACAATGTTTGCTGGGACTCCAACCACTAAAAACAATTATTAAATATACCCGACCAACAGATGAAGGTTTTGCTACATTTTTATTTATAAAAAAACGTTTTATAAAGATAATGGTTTTAGTGTGGAGCTGTTTTAATTCAACCTACATTCAAAAATAAATTAAAGTTAAGTTTATGGGATTTTTCAGTTGGGTTTGCAAACATCAAGCTTTTTTTTTTTGCTCGAATCTAATAGTGTTTATATGTTCCATAATATTTGTTTTTACGGTGATGGTTTTTTTTTTTCTCTTTTTACGATCATGTTTTTTTTTTTACAGAGATTTTTTTTTCATTTTTAGAGTGATGTTTTTTTCATTTTTACAGTAATGTTTTTTTTGGTTCATTTTTACGGCAAAATTTATTTTTCATTTTTACAGAGATTTTTTTTTTTAATTTTTAAAAAAAAATTTCTGTAAAAATGAAACAGTGATTTTTTTTTTTTTTCTACGCAAAATATTTCGAGGGGCTCTCAATGACGAGACCTGATGCCCTTCTGCGAATCTCTGCAGTCTTCTTTTAAACTAAATATTGAATATTGATTTAATTTTTTTTACTTATTTCCATTTGTAATATGACTTTTTCATCTTAACTATCTTATTGTATAAACTATTTAACAATGTTTAAGAAAAGAACAACAACAACAATAAATAAAATCCCCCCCAAAAAAAAGATGACTATTATAAAAATATTGGATTAAGCCTAAAACGTTCAGTGGTTTTTTTTATGTGCGTTTGTAAGTTAATTTTGATACATTTTTTTAAATATTTTACTAAATATCTGAACTTGTGACCTCTGGTGTTTAAATTTTTAAATAATGGTGGATTAAGAAGTTCAACTTTTTCTATTTCTCTAAACATTTTGTACACCTTGTCTCCATTGGATCTTCTCTGCACAGGGGTTTACAGCAAAATCCAAAATTCTTGTTTTAAGCAAAAAAAAGTTTTAAAACAAGAAAAAAATGACTTGTCCGTCACGTTTGGTTTGTTTTTTTTAACGCATTTTTTAAATGCTCTAATTATCAAAACTTGCAAAGAGCCGTGGTCAAGTTGTTTAAACAAAGAACTATGTGCGTGGTCATATAAAGCGTCCGATCACACGCCTCTTACGAGAAGGCCTGGTAACTTGTGTGTGATTTCAGACAAATAAACAAATTAATAGATGAACAAGACTACACAATTTAATAATTTTGGATAGAAAGAAAAGAATATTAGAATTAGAGTGATATTCTTGAAAGTAAATTATTTTAAATTTCTTGTTTTTAGATTAGATATTCATAAATAATTATTGGTTCATAAATTATAAGTATATATAAAATATCATATTAGAGTGTTTGTAGTATGTTTAAGAAATAAAATTTATATTAAAAGAGATTTGCTTTTTACTATTACAATCTATTTGACTTTAGAAAAACATATTGCTGGTTTAATACGGTTTTATTGATGTTATTTCATTTATGAAAAAATTGGGTGCTAGGTTTGAATACTACAAACAACTTTTGGTCCAAATACTCCATTCATCGCAAATTTAATAAATAAGTTGCAGCATTAATTTTTACAAAACCAAAATTAAAAAAAAGTTGCTATATAATAAAAGATTATGTAGCTAAGATCCGCAGCCATTTTAAAATCTCTGAAATTTCTTATGAACTTTATGAACATGCGCTCATAAACATAACGCTTGTAATTGACTGTGCATAATTATAGGTTTTTAAGATTTTGGGACCCTAATGACAGCTTGGGGGAAGGGGTAGGCGGAAGTGGCAGAGTCTTTAGCCACACAAAAACTCCTTGATCCATCGCTGGGCAGTTTATTCGTTTTTGTTAAACTCATTTATTATAAAGAAGTGCACAACTTTGGAGCACTTCAAACCAAATGTGTCTTTATTTAACGAACCCTGAGGGATGAAAGTTTAAGTTGACCTATGACCAAGAAGATTATCTGTATAAAAATTGTAAAAATAATTTAAGTTTAGAAAAAAAAATTCTGTAATTTAAAATATTTCATTTCAGAAAAAACAGTTAAAATGGCATTGTTTTTCTTTACATGTTTTTAAAATAGCACAGATTTCACTTCGAGCACTCTTATTATCATATTGTAAAATGTAATTAAAAATATTGAAGTTTCGCAATTAAAATAACTTTTTCGAAATAAATGAATATAAGTTTAAAACTTTACTTAACTTGTAGTTATTAAGTAGAAATCAATCAAAAAAAACATTGAAGTTTTTATAAAATAACTCAGAGCAATAATTCAAAGATAATGGCAATAATTTGTTTTAATAACTAATAACATTATCATGAAAAATAAATTCTAGTTCAAACTTTTGAAATGTATAGAAATAATAAATGAGCAATAAATATAATAATAAAAGCAGAATATATGATTCGCTAACAGTTAGCAATTCATATATTCTGCTTAATTATAATTATTGCTCATTTAACATTTTTATACATTTAAAAAGTTTGAACAAGAATTTAATTTTCCATGGTAATGTTATTTTTTATTAAAACAAGTTAACTTGAAAATTGGGACATGGTATGAGAATTTTTGCAGGGCATATCTCTTTTTTCAAGTTAGAGATTCATATGTAAGTTGACTTAACTAAAGTTTTAAGTACTTCTGTGGTTACAAGAAACATTTAAGAAAGTATGAAATAAGTTTAGACAGATAAAACTTACATGTATCCAAATTAGTATACTTTTTTCCTTGATTTTTCATACATAAATTGATTCAGAATCTCTTCAAAATCTAGACTTTTTGTAACTTCGCTTTTGATAGACATTAATGGCACTAATCATCTGCATAATCTTCATTTTCATTGTTTTCTAGCTCATTTATGAAGTTCTGAATTTCTGATTCAGCTAATTGGCGAGCTTTATAAGTCATAATTTTTATGCTTTTTTAAGTTACCATTGAGCCGATAAAATACTTTTTTTTTTCCGGACTGTTGTGGACCATATGTTCATAATTTTAATTCAGAACATGTTTATCAGATTTTGTGTAAAACATACTTCGGATCTAGCGAGAAACTTTGGAGCGGAAAGGTTAAATCCAAACAAATCATCTTGAAATCATTTCAGTTCTTTTTTACTTAAAATTTTTTTAAATAAATAAAATATTTTTAAATTCTACTGTTACGTCAGAAAAGTTCTGATGTCTAAAAAATTATTTAAAGCTGAAAATTAGGGGGCCTTACGTGCCTTGTGGAAGATCAGGCCCTGCTTGCACCTTACACATATTATTCTGCTACTACGTCGCCCATACAAAAGATTCACATTTATGCTGTTTAGATTTATGCAGATTTGCAGATATTCGCAGAGTGCAGCCGTGGCGCAGTGGTTAGTGCGCTTGCTTTTTAAGCAGGAAACCAAGGTTCGAAACGAGCTCTAGACATATTTTCACGTCACGGTAAGAAAGGAGGCATGAAGTTCCTGGTTAAATGCACTTCCGCAGTGCGTTTAATCAGGAATTTCATGCTTCAAGGTATTTCTCCTTCTGAAAATCCTCTCCACCTTCTGATAGACCACAAGGTCTATCAGAAGGTGGGGAGGATTTTCAGAAGGAGAAATTCAGTGGCTTTAATTTTTCTGAATTTTTTAATTTTTTTTAGGTTTACCTGCAGGTATCTACTAATATATATATATATATATATATATATATATATATATATATATATATATATATATATATATATATATATATATATATATACATATTTAAATGTATATACATATTATATACAAATGTTACAATATTATAAAATTAGAAACAATGTTTTTTATTGAAATATCTTTAAATAAGAATGGAAATCTAAATAAGAATCAAGTTCTTAAAACAAGAATCTAGTTCTTAAAATAAAAACAAAAGTTTTTAAAATAAGAACAAAAGTTCTTAACCTAGAATCTTGGATTTTGCTGTGTATATATATATATATATATATATATATATATATATACACATATATATATATAT